TATTAATTATTTGCCCTCTTTTCAAATTTTGTTTTTAAATTTTCTTAGACGTGTACTCCAAAAAAGCTATCTTTTTTTCAAGCCAGTCTACTGGAAGCTTTTGTCCAACCGTTGTTTTGGTCTGGATGGATAATTTCTTTTGCTTCATGAACCTGAAATACCAATTAGGTCCTCTAACAAAAATTTTAATGCTCATTTGTTGAGCAAACCTTCGCTTGACGGCGAATTCTAACTGTTGATACTGATAATTCACTTTCTCTCTGCTGTATTGTCCATTTCTTTAAATTGTCTTTCAAAACAGGCAGGCTATGACACCAGTTCAACGAGATCTTTTATTTTTAGGCATTTTCTCTAATTCTTCTTGTTCAGACTTCTACTGCCGAATGCAACGCTCGTCAACTTGAAATTCTTTAGCCGCAGCACGTTTTCCAATTTTGATGGCTTTCTTCACTGCCGAAAGCTTAAATGCAGCTGTAGAAATTTTTCTTTGAGTAGGAGCTATAATAATAATAATATTTTTAAAGTGCAAATGATAAGGCAAACAAAAAGCAAGCTACAAAGCAGTAAAAACATGTATGAATGAACACCGCACTTGGCAAGTAAACGTAGCTGTTGCCAGTAAAATAAAAACTCATAGGAAAACAAGAAAAAACCCATGGAGTTTAGGAGGAAGTACATGCATTACAGTGTCTTTACAGAGAGCGCCACCTACCTTAGGGGAGTTTGGACTCAGTGCACCGCCTTAGCGCAATCTGAGGTTAGAATATTGCAGCGAATTCTGCGTTACTTACGATCTGAATTAGCAAAGTTTTAAGGACAGAATAAAAATAAAATTCCCTCAGATACGCCGCCAACCTAAATTTTCAACTTTTAAACACATATAAGCCATGGCTTATCTACCCGAAATTACAGTATTATAAATTAAATATGTTAATTACATGAATGAAATTGCGATTTCATTTTTAAAAGTTCCTTATATTAAGGTTCGAAGTAAGATGTGCTGATTCTAAGGAATGCGGCTAAATGCTCATCTCTCAGTCTACTTTTAAAATAATTCTTTCTTAGGTTTATAGTTGAAAACACTTGTTCACATATATAAGATGAAGCAAACATAGCACTGATTTTCTGGGCGTGAGCTATTAAATTTGGGAAACTTACCTTCAATATAGATTTACAAAACTCTAACTTAGGCATATTTAGAAACAACTGCTTGAGATGATTGTTAGATTGCAACTCAATTAATTCAGGCTGCAAATATGACCGACCTCACTGCTTCACAATTTATGTTGAAAGCCATGGTAAAAATATCCAGTTTTGATTGAATGGCACTGAAATCTGCGTTCGAACTCAAAATGCAGTTTTTTTTTTTTTCAAGTCATCTTTCATAATTCCTAAACTTCTCTTCATTTACTGACGGTATTGAATTAATCCTCGGTAAATGAGACAAGTCGTTCTTAGCTAGATGCCCAGCAAACAGATTAAGTTTTAAGTTAAGATTAAGTTTTTTATAAGAGGTCTAATTCACCTATATTGGATTCCCATATGTCTGTTCAAGAAAGAGATAACGCTTGTTGACGCCAATCTACAGCTATAACTTAACAAAGAACTTCCGCTTTTAACACTTGCTGCCTGAAAAGTTGTCTGTGCTTGCTATTTCCGTCGATTTATGTTTTGTAGAACAAAAATAGAGAAAGTAAAAAGATCATCAGTCCTTTGAAAAAAAGGATGAAAAAAATAATATTTAAACAAAGTAGAAAAGGAGATGGATATATAATATATAAATATATACTTCTTTTAATTTGCCTCACCGGCAAATCAAAATTCTATCCGCGGGCCAGATAGAAACTTCCGGAGGGCCGTAGTTTGCCCACCCGTGTTATATCATCTTCATTTATTACTGCTTCTCCACATTAAGTAAAGTAAAGTATAATTTTAGTCTAGCTTAATAGCATATGCTATACTGTCTATGTATCATGAGACTGGCGCCAAAAGACAAGTTGTTCCGCTCAATTTTGTCTTGCTTTTATTGTGCACAGACAATTCGATTGCAAGATCGAACTGTATTATTTATTATACTTAGATCAATTTCTTGCACATGCTTAAGGCTTATCTGAATCCTGAATAAATAAATTTCAACATATACTTAAGGCTTATCGGGGTCTGCCCTAGATATCTTACCACCTGATGCAGTCTCTGTGGGTCCTAAATTCTTTTACCAGGCTAAATTCTAAATTTCTGCCACCCTAAATTTTGGATCCCAGTGCTTTCCCTATATTCTAAAAATTTTTCATTCCTTAAATTTGTTGCTCGGTGCTTTTCTAAATTAAAAAAAAAAAAAAAAAAATGTCTTCCTTAAATTCTGCCACCTGGTTATTGTTTCTTCAATAATGAGGTATTTATTTAGAGTCAAAGTGAAATTAAGAATCGGGACTATCCAAGTTGTATTATTGGGGGGATGAAATGCGCATGTATAAAGCATACAAAAATGGGGGGCTGTTAGTGGTTTTCAGGTCTGGATTTTAGATCATTCCGGATATTGGACATTCAGATCTCGAACTTCGTACTTTATATAGCTTATTTCTTTTTTTTTTTTTAAATACTTTTTTGAGCAGTTTTTATAAAACCAACCACTGTCTTGTGCTTTTATAATTATTACATAAAATTAAAAATCATACTTTTTTTGGTTGTTTCCAGAGTCCACCCGTCCTTTTCTAAATTAGTAATTTAAATATTCCTATTTTTTAGTTTTTGAGCAGCTAACTGATTTCTTAGTGCCCAGTTTGCCTTTCTGCAGTTGATATAGAAAGATTTTTCTTGCTTTCTTCACTCACTGAGGATCATCAAGTAATAACTTATTAGTTTTAACTTCAGAAGCTGGACAGGGGAATGCATTTGCATAATTCAAGTTTCAATAATCCAATAAATTTCATTATTTTTTAGAAACATTTCTATTAAACAGTAATGGGAACGATGAATTTATGAACACTTATACCTTTCACAATGCAATTTGATTACCTAGTTGCATTATTTACAATTATATATAAATTTTCTAAAGAGCATTATTTAATCTCTTTTTCTCATGAAATATGTAAAATTATTTTCCTTGTTTTACTTCGTTAACGATTTCCAGAAAACATTTTTTAATGTATATATTCTTAATCTTTTTAGTCTCAGTGACATGTTATTAATCAGATTATTCAACTGAAAAATTACTTTTAAAAAATAAATAAACATCCTTCTACTTTCAACAATTCTGTCATACAAATCAAACTAAGGTTTTTAATTAATGTTTTGATATATTCTGACAGAAAGACAAATTACCTTATTCTGATGATCTGAATTTTATAAACTGATTTTAAAAAGCAGAATGATGGAAATTATAGTTTTTAATAAAATCAACAAAGCTATTTTACCTGAAAGTCAAGGAATTAATTGAATGCTCATATAAATTGCTATAGAACAAACAGAAATAGCAAATGATACTGCTTTAAAAAATTCTCTGTGTTGAATTCCTTTGACATATCATACTATGCAAGGAAAAATGCCAATTTTTAACAAAAACCAAAAAACAAAGTTACCTGTGAGGAACCAGCTTTGATAAAATAAATAAATAAAAACAAATATTTAAATCAAATTGTTGCAAAAGAATTGAAGTATTTTCAACAGCAACAAACAACTGTAGAATTTCATAGAACTTGCAATTTTTATTCAAAAATTAAATCCCAAACAGGAGACCAGAATTTGGACAAATTATTAATTTTCATAATTAATGCATGTAAATGAGGAATTTTCTCAGCGTTCTTGTGGTAATGGCATGTTTAAATGTAATTTGTTACCATACTACAAATTTTTATGAACAAAATTATGAATTTATAATAAATTGATTTTTTATGCTTATGTTTCCTGTTTCCTGTTCAGATTATATTTTTTTCTTTATATTTCTATAATGCCCAATAAATTTTGAATAAACCATTTATTTTTATCCTTAATATAATTTTAATTATTATTACATTTTCAGTAAGTTTTTTAGAAAGTAAAAACACCAGTAAACTGATTTTAATCCACAATTTAATTCAGTTACTGGTAGTTGTAAATATTGCTAAATTTACAATTCCTAGTATAAATCGGAAATATAATAATGGGAAACTCTGTTTCAAGATTTTTAACACACTGTAATCAATCTATCCCCTCCAGAGGAAGAGGCTTATTAGTTGGCAAGGCCTGCCGATACTTAATGTGCCTAGATGGATGCAAAGATGCCAGTCTTGTTTCAACCTATACCTGTGATCAATATATAATTATAGACTAAAATTTCAGTGCTTGAAAGTTTAAAAAAATTTAAAGCAGTAACAATAATATTTTTTCAAAGAGAAATTGTCTTTTACTAATACTTTCGTATTATACCTCCCTCTACAATATGGGCCAACCTGCAATTGTAAGTGCTGCGGTGCCTCTAAACTGGCCTTATCCAGTTCACATTGTTTCAAATCATTATCTACTAAAGGATGATCTTCACATGTGATGTATTAAAAAAAGGAGTCATATACAAAGTATACTATTGGATTTACAATACACTAAAAATAATTTCAAACTTTTTTAGAAGAAAGGGCTTTCTGTATTGAACTATACACACAGAACACAATTTCAGAGAGAGAAGCCAATATGATTAAATTCAACTACAGGCATAGGCATCCAAACTGACCCTCTTTTCAAAGGTACAATAATGTATAGAACGCAGCAAGAAGTAAGATGACTACCCACAATTCCAACAATTTGATCTTCTGTGGAGGTGGTAACTTTAGAAAAGTAAAGTTCGGTACTAGTGTTTATGCTCTTTCCTTACGTATTCTTTACTTTTCAAAGCGGCCATCACAACAGGGTTCACTGTGTACCCCAATACAGTTGTTCAATATATGTTACGTTAGTTCATAACACAGCATATTATGATAGTTAATAACAATATCTTCAGTTCAAAAAAGAAATATGAAAAAATGAAATACCTTGATATTTGGATGCATTTGTACAAGCTGTTGTTTACTATATAAGCTATTAATCACAAGAGCCAATTCAACTTCTTTATATAACAGAACAAAAACTTTAACTCCTTGTTGCTGAGGAAGGGGAAAAACAAATATAATTTTCACTAAAAAGTCAGTAAACATGCTAACTCATAAAATATAAATTACTTGTCAACAACTTTTATATTTCCTTGTCATCAAAATTTAATTTAAGGGAAGTAAAAAGACAAAATTTTACTCTCATGAATTTGCTAAAAGGTGACTGTATACATATTTTGGCAAAGGGTGCACAGTTAACACTCAATATTCTAATCTTCACAATTAGCCCTAACAGTCTTTAGTTTACCAAATTATTTGACTGCTGAATTTCTTCCCATTTTCTAGTCATGTACAAGGGAAACTGAACAAACGTATTTATGTGAAGGAGAATTAGGTTCTGCTGCTATATACCCAATTGTTTTCAATTTAAGAATAAATTAGCATACAGTAAAACATCTCAATTAAGAAACCATGCAGGATACATAACCTAGAGAACTGCTTTTCTTAATTTAGAACTTAAATTCAAATCTAGGATGAAAATTTTCTTTCTAATTTCTTATACTGCAATGCTTTATTTATACAGACCTTATATAACAGTTAGGTTCATTTAATAAGAATGCTTTATTTTCACAATTACCTGCTTTGAAAGAAATGAAATTAGTTGGTAAGAAAAACAGAACAGCAATGTATGAGATTTAAGTTTATGCTTTTGCTACTCAAAGAAAGGCACATTAATTTAACATAATAAAGATTTTTTATATAATTCAAACATAAAAGTTCGGAGCTTTTATAGACTACTGAAATTTCAGTTTAGTTACTTACATTAAATATATCAATCTGATAACTTAAGTTTTCCATTGATTTTATTTGCTTAATTGAAAAGAAACAACCATTATTTTTAATTATTTTTTAGAAACAGACCTTATTTCATTAAAAATGTAATATGGTATTAAATCATATTAAAATATCTTTATCCTTGTCTCAGCTGCGTGCTAAAATTATGCATGAAACATAATACATCTCATAATGCATTTTAAGGGGGGGTGAAACCAAATCCTAGCTTTTGGTAACAAATAATTACTAATTCTCGCTTTTAAAGGAAACCACATACTAATATTTTGACATCTAAATGTTATGTCCATGAAAATAGTTGTATTTGCTACTTGCCATGTAAAACAGAGTGCGACCCATTTGCTACATCTGTATTGTATCTGTTCATAGATAAGGCAATTTTGACAAGAAAAGGAGCCCTCAACCAACACAAAGCTCATCTGTGGGCTTTTGAAAACTCCCATGGTATGTGAATACATGTACCTCAAAGATGGTTCTCTGCCAGTGTTTGGGCTGACACAGTTGGAGACCATCTTCTTAGACTGCACTTTATTTACCCCCTTTATTTGGATGAAAAGGCATACTTGATTTTCCTGCATCAAGTCCTGCCCAAATTTGTTGAAGAAGCACACGTTCCTCAGTCACTGCACAACTCAATGTGTTTCCAGCATAATGAGCTTAGGGATGAAAGATTAGACCTATAGAGAGATAACATCCTTGATGCTTATGTGTGTCCTTGTGCTGGAGTAATAGGTGATAATTTCCTGCTTCAGGATGACAATCTGTGTCACGTTGCTCACATTATAGATGATTATTTTCAGCAGCAAACAAATTCAGTGCATGGAGTGGCCAGCTTGATCCCCAGACCTGAATCCTATCGAGCATGTTTGGGATGTTTAGGAAGACGTACAGCTGCTCTCAGTCCTCTACATGAGACCTTTACAACTGCTTTATAAGAGCAATGGCTCTCCTTTCCTATGGAACTGATAGACTACATACTGTAAAGGCCCTTATTCTCGCGAGCCCATCGTTATTGCGAAAATTTAAGTCTCAGGAAATACTTTTTTTTTCTGCCTCAAAGAATAATAAAAAATCAGAAAATTTTCACTTACCCAAAATTTAATGATTTATTGCACAGTTATAAGCTTTTTCTTGACAACTTTCATTCTTATAATTATTTTTTGAATAATATACAACTAGATTTCTCAAATATAAAACAATAAAATTCATAGAAGGCAGCTCATTCACTTAGAATACTATTTATACATACCAGCTTCTTTGAAGCCATTCAAAATTATCTCATGCTAGCCTTCAATACCGTTAAATACGCGCAAGCCAAGATGAGTGAATCGGTTTTAGTCGTGGTATTCGCAAGTCCACAGATTCTTTTTCCTCTAGAAATTGAAGCTCATTAGAATACCACTCAAACTCATTCTTGAGCAAAACGCTTGAACTCACCATTTAGACGGGAACGGGGGGGGACGAACTTTTCGAACAAAAGGAAGTTTCTTAAAATGCTTTACGCAAAAGATGTACTTTTGGAATTTTTCAACTTTCTCACTTTACTTATGTACTTTTGAAAGTTTTCAACTTTCGGTTCTGTTCACATAAAATTAGCGAAATTTTCAGCTCACAAAATCACTGATATATTCATTTTCGTGAAAATAAGGGCCTTTACAGTAATTGAGAGCATCATGCACCACTGTATATATTGTATTGCTTCTAGGGAAGATTCATATTCTATATTGAAGGTAATTTTCCTACACCAAACTTGACAAATCTGATTTGTTCATTTTATATGTGTGCTATTTTTTTTTTTTTCCATGTTATTTTATACCTTACTATTTGCTGTCTACTGTGGACCAGTTTCATTAGTACAAGTACTTTTCAAGTACTGTATTTGATGGCATATAAGACGCACTTTTTTTCCTAAATTTGGTCTCAAAAAAGTTACCTGCGTCTTATACATGAAGGGCGCAGTCTTACATGTAAAGGTAACTGCATTCAATAATTGCTTATTTGGCTTTTAAGAAATGTGGGAACTAAAAGAAACCACGCTATTGAAACTTTTTTTTCCTTATGTGTGGCCGTCTAAATACGGGTGCGTCTTATATGCCGTCAAATATGGTAATTATCATTTCTGCTGTTTTTCCTTAATTAATGATAACCAATGTATTATCTATGTGAAGAACAAAATAAAAGTAACTTAGAAAGAGTAAAAAAATAAAAACATAAATATATAAGAAAACTCTTACTGCTTTTCGTCTAAGAATATGATCCAACCGCCAAATTTCTCCTTGAATGACAGGACGTTTCATATACAATTCAGGACTTAACCACCAGTCAGCTATAAAAATCTCCTCTTTTGCCTTTTCTAATGCATCAGCAACTGCTTCAAAATAAGTCGCTCCATCAACAAACCTAACATGGGTTATATTTAGCATCAAATAATGATCATAATAGTGGGATGATAACTACAACACAAATTAAATATGTTAAATAAACATTATGCAGTTCTCTAATATAAACAGCTATCAGAATTGATATGAATTATATTGCTTGAGGTAATTTTTAACTGCAAACAGATCATCACTACAATTTATCAGCCATTGCTTTAAAACAGGATTTTAAACTAAAGGTTTACTGATTACTTTATTCGTTGCATTCGACCATTTTATTATTTCATGCATTTTTAATGTCTACATAAAAGCTTCACTATGCAATTTAAAGTTATTAACACACTCTTTCAATACTAATACTTCAAACACATATAAATGATTTTAGAAACCCTGATACTTTAACGACTTAGAAAATCCAATCTTACATAAGCAAATATGTAAATAATGATAATACATAATCTTAAAAAAGAAACTTTTTTTTTTCAGGAAGGGGATATGTAATTAATCTGAATCAAGTATTTTCAAAACATCTAGTAGTCCTACTAAGAATTTTTTTAGGGGGAAAGGGAATTACTAAAACTGTACATTATTATAGACAATTAATTCATACTGACAAGAATAATAATGCATGTGTATCAAAGAAAAATTATTCAAGTTTCAACATGCCAGTACATTAGATTCAAATATACAATTACCATCTACATTCATTGTTAGTCCTAACAGGAGCAAAAGCTCCATAACGATTTGGCTGCGTAAAATCTCGACCTGTCGTTTTAGCTGTATCGGCCAAGCATTCTGTCCATTCTCTTGCTTTCCTTCTCGTCCAGCATCTCACCAGTAAACGTCTGAAATTAATATTAAATTAACACTAAGTAATAATTAGTATACAAAAAGTTAAGTCTTGAATTTAGCAGCCAGAATGATTTTAAAGAACTACACTGATATATGACTTAACAAATACTTAATTCCAAGATAGGCATTAAAAAGAAAAGAATGTATAAGTACCAAAACAACGTTAGGTTCTATTAAAAAGTCTGTCCATATGGGAACTGTCTGTCCATATGGCCAAAACATTTTCCCTTACCTTTTTTTTTTTAAGTTACTTAGAAGTTTTAGTTTACAAAAGACTTACTTTCTATCTAATTTTTCAGTGCAAAGCAATCAAAAACTAAAGAATACTAAACAGATATCAAGAAAATAATTTGATGAGAAATCTTAAGATCATTACTATCCCATTCAAAAAATAATTTTAATATTATCGAGGAAAATAATAAATTTTAAGGCTGCCATATTTCATATTAAAATATTTTATTCAAATACATTTTTAAACTTTGAAGTCTTCAATCTAATCATCTAACTCAACACAAATGAATTTCCTAGTTATTTAGATACAAGCTGAGATCAAAATAAGAATACAATATTAGGATGTTTAATAGCTACGAAACTAAATATATAAATGCACATTAAAAAGTTTAGATTACTTTCCCATTGATATTTCCTTTAATTAAAACAAGTATATTTACTTAGTAATAATGGATAAGAAATTATAAAGAAGAATTAACTCAAAAATCCCCATAAAAATACATTCTAAGGTTATAAGTCACCTGACAACTTTTAAAATAAGGCAAAAAAAGCAACCTCAGTTTCATGCAGAAAACTGTGCTGGACTAGTTTTTTTCTTTCTATTTTTAGCTCTAAGGGTGTTAGGCCAGAAGGGCTATTAATTTCATTTTGGCATTTTGCGTTGAAAATTTTAAATGCCCATTTCATTCGTCAAATTGTTGCCACCAAATATTATCGCCCTGTGTTATATTTAAAGAAATTAAATAATGAAGAATCTGCATAAATGTATGTATGTTTCTCGCACTGTGATAAAGCAACAGTACCTAGAGTCATCAAATTCTGAATAACATAATCCTTCACCGAATATGGACATCTGGAAGCCTAATTTGGAATTTGTTTTATTATCAATTTCATATTTTGTAACACTTTAATGAATTTCTGATTAACAAACTTAACGATTTCAAAGCGAGGCAACAACAACAATATACGGGAGGTGCTAACTATGCAGTTCTGCTCCAATTTTGTTGGAAAACAACTTAGACAGTGAATCCAAGGTAATCTTTCATTATCAAATCAGTTGAAAGAATTTTTGACTTGCCAGTATTTTAAATGGTTCATTTGCCGCACAGATACTACAGACTTACAAACACATATGCCTTTCCATGATTTAAACACAGCCCAATGATATAGCAGCTCACATTGTAAACTATTACACTGATCAGGGGTGGCACAACAGTTTGTCAAAAATATATGTTGGTACAACCATGGCAATGAACCAAGCTAGAAGTTATGCAATAGTTTGAAGAGGAACTGCTTCATATATTAATCAGTTTGCTCCCAGATACAGATAAACTTTCAGCATTGATATCAACCCAAGTCTGTAAGATGAATTAAATTAAAAAATAAGGATTTTAGAATCTATGCTTGCTAAGCATTGGCTTTGGTCCAGAAAACATATTTCTAAAGGGTTAGCAAAAACTTTTCATAAGCATGCCTCATATTGCATAATTACATATTGCAGATAAAACTAGGCTAACAACATGCTATTATATCACGACCAATAAAAGACGTTCCTCTTCTAAGTATGTAATGGCTTTACATATACTGTATACTAAAATACAATACCCATGTAGATAAAATACATGATAAACTGGCAATATATTAAATTAAACTATTCTTGTTATAAATTTATACTGTTTATGATAATTATAATAAAAAACAATATTTAAGCATTTAAGAAAATTTTCATCTGCCTAAAATTTTGTGAGAATATCTGAAAAAATTATTTTTTATAATACTTTTTACTTATCATGAAATTACAGGAGCTTATATATAATCCTGTCAGAGGAAATGTTGCTGTCACTGTTCAGTGATCTGCACCTATAATATACTGATAATATATGTATATATATGTAAAAAATAAAATATCTATCTTTCAAAAACTAAATTAATAATAGCTCTTTAACTCGTATTTTCATTCTATATAACACAGCAATAATTTTTTTAACTCCCTGCAATTCTGATGCATACTTACCATCAATGAAATATGAACCCAACATCTGGACATTTAAGTGTCATGTGATATGAAATGTAATCCAGTATAAAAAGTTAATAGCATGCCAACTCTTTCTTCATTCTTCACCTCTTCTTCTTTTCACTGAGTTGCCTTGTCCCTAGTTTTACTTTTCTAATTTTGTCCATTGTTTAAGAAATGTAAGCTGAACAAAACTGAGGGGTGCATAGCACATCCACAGTGATGATGTGCATCATCAATGAATAAAACTATGTGTGGAATTTACTGTTATGTGTGTTCTTCATATTATAATGCAGAGAACCACCACCAGTCCATTGCAACTTACTTTCACCAATGCATCTTATCACAATAATGGCACAGTCTTATTATATATATTTGCACCTATAATATACTAAATACATATATATATATATATATGAGAAATTGTAGAGAGCTCTCCATAAAGTTACCAGGAGCTGTGGCTCCAAATGCACCTATAATATACTAAATATATAATGTTTACGTCATAAAATGAATGTGAAATACTATATTTCGACAACTTTGAAAAGGGCCTGGTATGTATAAAAGTAATGAGCTTATCTACATGGGAGTAAATGCAGTTAATAGTTGAAAGGGGCAAAAAAAAAAATAACATTAATTAATGATTGTCGGAGCCAAAGGTTTACCATCTTCTCCCCCCCCCAAAAAAGGGCACAAATTTAAAACAAAATCAAAGACTTTTTAACAGTTGAAGAGATAAATGTTTTTAAGCATTAATTCTAACCATAATTTTATTCATCCCCAATTTTTTCCATTTTCAATCAATTGTAAACATATATATGTTTCCAAGCTTTTTATATGTAGATTATTATCATTTCAGAAATTAAATGTTATTGCTATTCCAGCTGCCATTAAGAATATCTGCCAACTATATTGTCAACAGCAAAATCTTATCACAATTTTTCAAGTTAGTTTTTCCACTTACAGGATAATATTATAAAACTAAATTACCTAATTTACAAATGAGAATACAAATAACCTTAAAAAATCATATCAATTTCATTTAATATAACACCTTCAAAATATAAAATGTGGTTCTTTATATGATAAAATTAAGAAATTAGCATTACACGAATACTTTCTTACCTAGTAAGGTTAGAGATTTGAAGCCCATGATGTATGCCAGTGGCAACAAAACCACAGTCAACTTTAAACCCTTGATCCATCAATAAAATGCACCTCACACGACCATCTTTGGGTTTCATATATCCTATCCAAGAATCTTTAATAATCAGCCACCTAAAAATATATAACAATCAAAGGTATTTTTCCGTTTCGCCGGCGCAAATCTCGCCAAGCGGACTTTATTGGCGACAACAAACAGTATACACATAAAAAATTTTAACAAATGTTAGTTTTAAGAATTTTTTATTTTGAAGGCATAAACATTTTAATATAGTTTAAAAATTTTTAAAAAGCCAATAAATAAAGACAATAAAAAGGGATTAATTTAAGAATTTACTATGCTTTCATGTTTCAACATGAAAAAGAAAAATTCAAATCTGATTCGCCGGTTCATATCACGTGACCCCACCACATAAACTAATCTACAAAAATCTAATTCTCTCAGTAATTATCTACATTAATTTCAAGTTAAATCTTAATTTGGAATACAAGTTTAAATGCAAGAATTATTTCAATTCATACAAATGGCTTACTCAGAAATTATGTAAAACCTCGGTGCTTTACTTCGCTAGTGCATTTTTATTAGAATTGATGAATTTAACCCTTGACTTTGCCTTTTCTATATTTTCGCCTTCAGGAGAGCAGTGTAATTGCATCCTAATTGACTTAATTACCGCGAATGTCCTTAGTACATAAAATTGAACTATCTGTAATCTATGTAATTGTATGTCTGTAATCTATGTAATTGTATGTTGGTATCTATGTAATTGTATGCCAATATTGAAAGAAAAATCAATCTGAGAAGAAATGACTGCAACTTGTTTTGAAAATGAGGCGTTAAAGGCTACCAGCGAGGATATTCCGTTTGGCATCGGTTGTACCATTACTGGCGAATTTATTGCTTGCACCGGCAAAACGGAAAAGTACCCAATCAAATGAAATAGTGCAATAAATTAATAACAAATAAAAAAAGTAATTGTTTAAAATGCAATTATGTAATATCGGAATACTGGCAGGCTCTTTACTAATTAAGACACCATTTTGCACTGCCCCATAAAGGGGCATCAGGATGGTTCTTATGGGGTTTCATTGATTTGGATGGTAGTTTTGTACCTAGTTTCTAGGTACCCTAAAGAAACTAGGTACAACTACCATCCAGATCAATGAAATAATATGAACCATTTGTCATAAAACACTCAAAAATAAAACAAAACAAAAAAATCTGCATAATTTCAGATTTTATATTATGTTCAAAGGGGTACTGCTCACTTTGAAATCGTTAAGTAATTAAAAATTCATTAAAGTTTTACAAAATATGAAATAGATAATAAAACAAATTCCACATTCCAAATTTGGGATTCCAGATGCCCATATTCGAGTGGAGGACTACTAATTCAAAATTTGGTGTCTCTTTTTTCGCAATGCGAGAAACATACATACATTCATACATATTCTTCATTATTTAATTTCTTTTAAATATAATGCAGGGCTCTAATATTTGGTGGCAACAATTTAAAAAGTGAAATGTCACAAAATGCCAAAATGAAATTAATAGGCCTCCTGGGCTAATAACGTAATTCATAATTATTGTTAGTAAAGGCAACAATAACTTTAATTAGACAAAAAATGCATTTGCACAAACAGTAATTATAAAGACATTACCATCAGGAAAGAAACCAAACGCAACTGATGACATATGGTATCAAGGAAATAAGCAAAAAGGGGGAAAAAAGCACCAAATGGTATGGCTTCAACAGAAAAATACTGAAATATTTCTCTTAGTTTAGTTACTTCAATAAACAAAGTCTATTTGGCCTACAAAGAAAAGATCTTTCTTTTGAACTGAAAAAATACAAAATGTCAAAATTGTTAAAATAACTTTTCTATGCTTTTAAGGATTATGCTACAAAAATCCATTTAATTTTTTAATTTCATGGCGAATTCAAATGTAGGTAACTCTGAAGACTATTCAAGACAGGGGCAGGCTTTATGCACTAAAAGAAAATTATTTGTTATGTAAAGTTTGAATTATTTTATACCTACAGATCCTGAAACAACAACTGTGTTTTACCTATCATAGAATAAATTTTGAAAGAAATAAAATGGAGTTGACTGATAGCTGTGCCATGATTTTTTCTGATTTTAAAGTGGGGCAAAATAAAAATAAATGACTTCAACATCTACAATTAACATATGGCTATGAAGTACCATCTTGTGCCATTGTATTCAAGCAGTTTTAAAAAATTTCATAGTTGATAAAATTCTCTCCTGGATGAAAAACATAAGCCCTCTAGTAAGAAGAGTCCCAGAAATATGTAACAGCCACACAAAAAATGTTAATCCATGATAATCGCTGTGCCTAACAAATTATAAGAAACTTAGTACTGGATTCACAGGTATACATAAAATTAGCCATGGAACACTGCATATGAAAAAAATTAAGTTTGTCAATGTGTTACTAATAAATTAACAGAGCACCAAAACACACAGCATGTCAAAAATCAGTAAAGAAACCTAAAAATTACTGAATGATAGTGGACACTGCAAATATTTCTAAAATATAACTAGTGATGAACCGTACATACCATTTTTTTTTAAGTTCCACTTTGTCAAGAAAGTAAAATATGAGCCTTTGAAGATGACCCCAAATCAACAATGGTGAAAAAAAACAACAAGAAATGAAAAAGTAATCTAGTCTGTTTTTTTTTTTTTTTTTTTTCTCCAACAGTACAGAGCTGGTCAAAGCAATTAAGTTCGAGGGACAGAAATAACTAACTAGTTCACCACTAAGTGTCTTCCAGAAATATTTTTAAAAATGAAAGTGAGGGTTCTTATTGCACCATGATAATACATCTTCTTATTCAGCAAGATGAACAGACAAATTTCTTAAGCAAAAATGCATCAAAGTGATAGAACATCCACTCTAATCACCTGATCTTGCTATGTGTGACCAACGTATATTTTTTAATCTAATACAAAATTTACTTGGCCACTGTTTCGAACTGAAGAAGCTAAAAAAGCATATTTTTCATCGATTCTAAAAAATGGATGGCTTGAAACATTTAATCTCTCGAAAATTTGCTTATAAAAATGAATTGATGTTGAAGAGAACTACAATAAACACTCCTAAGATTTGATAGGTTTTAACTCAATGATTTGATAAGTTAATATTTAGCTATATCTAAAACATTTCAGTGTGACCCTTGAATGACGTTTCAATAAAATGACTGTCGAAAGAATAAATAAATTTCTTACTGCATAAGCAATTTTAAAGTTAAAAGATTTTTCACTATAAAAGATTAAAATTTTCTGGAATGTAAAATAAATATACACATAAGAGATATCAGCTATCAGGTTACACACCTCCATCTCCATCTACCACACCAATCTATTAAACCTCTTCTAAGACGAAAACATCCCACTGATGTTCGATGGCCGCCAGAACGTTTCTGAATTACACCTTCTTTTCGTTTTGCTCCTAAGCCACTTATAAAAGATAAAGGGCAGATTTCCAAAAAGTCCATCTATGGATTAGTACAAAATCAAATTTTAAAAGTTAGCTGTTTATAAAACATAATACACTCAAATAACAGCATTAAGGTAATAATATTGAATAGTGAACAATTAAAAGTGCATGCAAACTACAAACTATGCTATATATTTTTTTGCACAGTTGATCATTAAGTTTTTTTATGTAACCAGGAATATTCATATAATTTTAAGAAAGTTAATTCTTACACTATATGTGACTACAAGTATTTGAATGCCATTCACACATTATGTTATTTTAAATAATAAAAATATTACATTATGCAAAATTTAAAACACATACAAAAATTTTCAGATAGAAAAGGTGTAAGTCGTGTTACTAATGTTATTAAAATGATATATAATACCAATGAAATATGAGTAGATAAGGTACAGTCAAAAGTCGTTAATTTGGACACCCATAATTCGGAATGATCTATAATTCGGACCTCAAAGATAAAAACTTTCTGCGCATGCGCCCCGTTGACACATGCGCATAGGCGTTTACGCATGCGCGTAAGACTTCTTGCGACTGCAAATATGAGTGTGCGCAAGTGCAGAATACGTTTTCGCGCGCACTTTTTATGTATACGGGACGTATAAGCTAAAATTATCTAATTATCTATTTCAGTTAATGTTGATGGTTGCATTGTTCCTTAATTTTCAAATTGGATCCGGCTTATTATTTTTTGCAGACTGTAAGAGCAATACTATAAAAGTAAACTTGAACTTTCGATTATGTCAAATAGAATTTCCGATTCTGGAGCTCCCAAAGGATCGTACAAAACGAAAGTATGTTTCGATGTTCATCAAACAAAAAGTGGAATTGCTGCAAAAAATTGATAAAGACATGAAGAATGTGACAGAGAGGTTAATGAAAACGAAAAAATTTCGATTGACAAGTTAGTCGGTATTCTCGGCACAGCAATTAATGGGACTTGAACAGCAGAACTTTGTAACTGAACAAGAAATTATGTCTGTTTATAGAATTAAAGAGAAAGTATTATCACATAAAACGAAGCAACTTACATTGAAAGAAATGTTTAATAAAGTAAACAAATAAATATTAAGCTTTTTTTTTTTTTGTAAATTTTGATACCCTTTAGATCATAATTGTTCTTTATTTCATAAATTACGGTTTCATATTTTTAATTTTAGAATTTCTGCATGCCATCTTACGAGATTTAAACTGATGATCTATAATCCGGAAAAATCGATAATTCGGAATCGCCGAACTCCCGACGAATCCGGTTTAACGACTTTTGACTGTATATCATTTATAAAATGGGTGTTAATGTAATATTAATTGCTCCCAATATTTTTATAAAAATATTTAAATACAAACTAAAAAACTTTTCTAACCAAGTTCCACATAATTAAAAGATAAAAATGCGAGTATTTCATGAAACAAATAAATAAAACACAACACACCATTTCATGATGATTTCTATATAATGGTATTCTGAGCACATTTTTCAAATATTCTTCTAGTTGTTGCTGAAAAGTAAAAACTCTTAAATTAAAAGTGTTAAATTTTAACAGCAATAATGAATGTACGAGTACTGTCAAAACTAAGAACACATCATATTCTTAAAGAACTAAGGTAATTTGTTATAATACACTTTTTTAATCTATATTAAAGGCATTTAATAAAATAAATTAAAAATAGTTAACACAAGGAATTATGATTAAAAATTTTACATACTGCACGATATTCAATTTTATCATGAGTTAATAAAGCATCCGGTCTTTTTGGAAATCTGGGAAGACGGCGTCTTTCTATATTTCGGCAACTTTTCCGTCGTGCTTTGTGCCTGCAAGAAAGATTTTTTTTTTTTTAAATGTGATAATATCTTACAACATATAATAGAAAAACACATAATAAAACTTTCCAAGTAACCGAATTTGAAAATTTGAAACAGGTGATTTCAAACTTTCTGATAAGCCAAGTTCTGGGCGATCATCTTTGATTGGCGATGGCGTTATTATGACCATGTTGGAGCAAGATCGTTTTGTGACAACATCGGAGATCACAGAAAGGCTTAATTCAGCTCAGCAAACCATTTTGAACCATACTTGGAAGATAGGATTGGTGTGGAAATATTCAAGATGGGTCCACATGAATTAAGTCAAAATTTAGATGATCGAGTCGTCATATGCACATCTCTGGTTGCTTCGAACAAAATGAAGCCCTTCTTGAACCGGATGATAACTCGAAATGAAAAGTGGATCACCCATGGAAACATCATAAGGGAAAGGGCATATTGTGAACCCAGAAAACCTAGCCCTCCCACCTTTAAGCCAAATTTGACCCTGAATAAGGAGAATGTTGTGTATATGGTGGGGCATTCGAGGACCAGTACATTACGAGCTTTTACAACCGAACAAAAAGCTCAATTTGGAGAAGTACTGTCAGCAATTAGACAATTTAAAGACAACAGCCCAAGAAAAGAGGCCCGGAGATTTTCAACAGGAAGGACATCGTACTACATTATGATCATGCTAGGCTACATGCTGTTTTTGGGACTCGTCAAAAAATTGCAGAACTAGGCTGGGAAATTCTGTCACATACACCATATTCCCCAGACTTAGCACCCTCTGACTATCACTTGTTTTTGTCCTTACAAATATTTTTGAAGGGCAAAAATTTCGAAAATGAAGTAGATATCAAACAAACACCAGCTCTATTTTTTGCACCAAAAGTTGCATTATTTTTCAAAAATCGGATATACAAATTGCCCTCACACTGGCAAGAAGTCATTAATAATATGGCAATTATATTATTTTAATAAAGTTTATTGACAGTAAGAAAAATTTGTATTTTTTTTTTTTTTTTTTTCCAAAAATGGACAGAACTTTCTGGTAGACCGTCTATTTGTAATATAATTATTTTATAAATGTTACTGAAGTTTATATTTACATTAGTACCATACATATTTTGGACGAAATTATCCCCCCCCTCACTATGTACTGGGTAAGACATATAGACGATAAAATTATTTTCCTTTTCCATATTTTTCAGAGGAGCAAAACTGGCACTCTTTGACCAAACATTTTGAAATCTATTTCTGTGTCGAAAATTCCTCCAGATGACAAGTATAAATGCAAAGCTTCTGACTGAGGATAAAAGTGAACATATTCAAAAAATATAAAATGTATGTAGCCAAATCAATATCAGTCAATTTATCCAAATCTGCAACTGGTATCATATGAAAAAATCATAACTCTATAATTTCTGCTCATGGGAAAAATTTGTATATGAGGAAAACGTTGAGAAAGTAGGAGGATAAGAATGTTGAAGAAGCACTGCTGAAATGGTTGATCATTAAAGAAGCTATAATCTGTGAATATCTGAATAAATGCTTCAGATAAAGGCCAATGAATGTGTCAGACATTTTACAGAGATTGAAAAAATAAACAAAAATGCTGTAGTGTGTGCAATAACTGCAATCAAATCTTAATATATTTTTTAATCAGATTTATTATTCACTGGCACATGCGACAATGCTAATCAGTTTTTTTCCCCTTTATTCATCATTCAAATTTTACATGCGTTCATGAGATAAAGAATTTTACTTATCAGATCAGATCCAGCAAACCAAACATCTGATTCCTTGATATTCGTTATAGCGGCAGAGGCACAGCCAGGATTTTCAGCACTCGATGGTAATTAAATATTTCGCACTCCCTCTTACTTGGCAAAATGCAAAGGAGACGGGGAAAAAAATACCCTCTGAATGATGCACCCAGGGACAGATGTACCCCCTTTGACCTCCCTATATCAGTATGGAGTGGGATCCGACTGTGTATGCAATACAGATTTATTAACTAAACCAAAAGCAAATGGAAAATTTAAGTCATATATGGTCTTTTGTAATTATGAATTAAAAAAAAAAAAAAAAAAGAAGTTAAAGAAATTTTATTTATTCTCTCTCTTATTCATCAAACTTTTCTTTATATAACTTAAGTCTGCAGTTATGTCATAAATAATCTTTTGTAGTATATATTCAATTTCAAATCTATGGAATAGCAGTATCTCTGTTAAATTACATATGGTGTTCCAATACAAAAAAGTTCTAAATTTTATACTAATCTATAGTTTTTTTTTATTCTCATATTTATCAAAAATACAAAATTCATATTTAACTCATTCCAGCTCTGAATCTGAAATGAATCACAAAGACTAATTAAATTCTAATGCAAAGAATTTCTAATATTTCACTTTCTTAATAACTCGTAATTTTTTTTAAAAAGAACTCCTAACATAACAAATCACAAATTATTAAAACATGGTAATCAAATAATTTGTCCAGTCCCCATTTTGTAGTTTTTTGCCAAAGTTTTATACATTAAATGATAAAAATGTGAATATCAAAATATAATCAATCATTTAAAAACACATTCAAAACAGAGGACTTAGAAAAGTTGGTTTGAAATTATGAGTATGTAAAACATAATAGTTTATTCTCATTAATTAATAGGAAATAATCATGTGCCGAGTTCATAAAACTGCTATAATGCATTTTTTATAAGGAGGAATGCTTCATGAAGAACTTTCTAAGGGAAACTGGCTTAAATGGCTTTTTTGTATGAAATATATCAAACCTATATACGTCTAATTCTGCAATACACTTAAATTACAACACTTAATTACAGCAAAAGTTAAAAACTACATTATGTGACCCATAGTATGGAAACAGTTAAAAATATTCCTAACATTCATTAAAGGTTTTAAAATCCACACACCTTTTTGTAGGAATAGGAATCGAAAGAGCAGCTCGGAAAAGTCGAAGTTGTTGATGCAAATGCTGAAAATGTTTGTAGCGTTTTCTGACAGTCCATTCGTAAGGTCCATGCTGAAGCTGTAAAACATACCTAGGAGGAAAATAATTATAGATAAAATTCAAATATACAAACCATTTTTAACAAATTCTAACTAATGAGATACATGAAGTTCTCATCTGAAAGGGATGAGGTCAGCCTGACTGTACCTGCTTATTTCTGTGCTGTTAAAAAATAATCTAAATCTAAATAAATATATATGCATTTTTCAGATTTTAGAAAGGAAAGGGGATGATCTTCTAGAAATAGCGAAAGGAATGCACAGAGTAAAACAATAGGTTGAAAACCACTCATTTATCATAATATCACTCTTTTTAGCACTTTAATTTAAAATAAAAATTATCAGAACTTACAAATTTGGATTGATTATATGTGTTGCAGGGCTACGTTCAATATCCACAATTTTAACATTGATAGCGCAACCAGGTATTAGCATCCTGAGAAAAGGATCCTTGAAGCCCAAAGGTGGATCATGGATTTTTGAAAATCTAAGCTCAGTAGGACCTATTAAATTAAAGCATTTAAAGATATACAAATAATTTACACACAAAAAAAAAAATAAATAAATAAAGATACAATTTTTTAAATCACCATTTAATAGTTACGTGACTAAATGCTACCACGGAAGGATTCCAATACATTTTGCAGTAAAAAAGTTAGAAAATACTTGAAAATTTACATGACACATCTGCTAACTTGAGAAACTTACTAACAGGGATACATTTAAAAAAAGAGTTAAGTTGATAAAAGTTATATTAATACATTTTTACTCGCATTTCAACATGATTTCAACATAATGTTTTCAGTATGCACATTTATGTGTAAAAGATACACATTTTATACTTGAATAACAAAATTGCCTTAAAAGTATATTATAGTTACAGAAGCAAACATCTTTATTTAATAACTTATTTGATAACTATGAGTTACACTTATTTATTTCAGTCTTTGCAGAAATGCCTGTGGAGCTACTGAAGCTTTCTACTTACTGAAGATTCAAAATCAATGACTGTTGTAACTTCAGTTCCATGTCTGATCTGATCTAAAGAATGCAATGATCTGATCTAAAGAATGGAATGAAGAGACTCTTTAATAAGCAAATAATTTTGTTTATTCAGGATGAACAGCTTTACTCTTCTACTGTAGCATCGCCCACCCAGTGATGGAAATAAAGGCAATAACAGGATTAAAAACACTTCAATCACTTATCAATCAGTAGTCAGCCATTACATTCAGCAGCTCAGTTAGCCGACAGGTTTTACTCCAAGAGATACAGATACAGAAAACCTGTGTTTCAGATGTACTGAGGAAGTCTTCAATTGTAAACCTCACCTTCAGAAGACAAGGTGGGCACCTAGGGACACGCAAACTAACATGCATGGTCCGCAGGACAGTAACACACTCCTCCATCACAAAAGAACTTCACAACAGAGTATGTGTAAAACCAGTCAGACAAGTTCTTACCAGCAGCAGTAACCATATCTCAACAACTGGCCAGTATCTCACCCCTGCCCACAGACCTAACACTGCATATAAACGGCCATTCGGAAAAGCCAGAACATGAGAGGAAATGAATGCACTCTTCATTGAAGAACTCTGTGAAATGCACAAACAAATATGTCACATCTGCTTCGGAGCCAGAGTGGTAGCCAAACCAAGTACAAGAATATTGCTTCTTCTTGAAGTCTTTAAGGTACACATTGTGCATGCTCCCACTGTGCCAAGTTGCTACTAATATTTACATAATTATTTTTGTTACATCTTCCCTGGAGATGAAGAGGTTCATTGGGAATAAAAGTTAAATCATATGAAAATAAAGTAAAAACCTCTAAAGTTCTAAATAATAATGTAGTTGCACTGGTCTCAATGTTCCAATTGAAGTCATCAAAATGCAGCTATGTACCTTACCATCTCACCCTACTCAGAATTTCTATAATTTCTTGAGTCTCCCCACATGGCAAGGTAACTTGTCATTTAGAATTAATACATCTCAAGTCTTAAATTCGTGTGATACATCAATAATTGTTACATAATGAACACCTTTTAATTGTAGTAAATATTCCTTGCAGCAGCTGTGCCAAAAACTATTCAGCAGACCTTGACACCTTTATTTTATCAAATTATTATAAATTAAAGGATAAAATGCTTTGATTATTATACTACTAATGTATTAATGAACGATTCAATAAATTCTAAATTACTCATATTTGACTGAATTTTAAATTCTGTCTCCAACTTATTTAATTCATGATAGCTCATTATGAGAATTAAAAAAAACTATAACAAGTGTTCAACATCTAAATAATAATAATAATAAACAGAAAGAATATACAAAGTTTGTTAATTTAAGTACAACATTAAGAAAAAAGTAAATTACACTATAATGCCTTCAAAACAATTACTTCTTTTAGTACTGTTTTGTTATTGAAACTGGATTCAGACATGTATGAATGTGTGTTTGTATGTATCTGCATATATGTGTATATATATACACACACACACATTCGTACTTGCACACATACATGCATACAATACATAACAGAACAGTACCCTTTTTTCACTATATATTTTTGCTAGGTATCATAAAAAGCAAAAAGAAATATAAAAAAGTAACTAGAAGTAATCATTAAAGATAATTTTATTTTATAATTATTATAAATAATTTGCTATACAAGTGATCCTCTCAGAATCTTTCAGTTTCAGTCCTTTCAATGTAAATGGCAAAATACGAGAAAAATTATCTGGTGACAAAGAAAATATGAAATATTTCCCATGCTGTAAAATTTTGGATATTGGTCAATGCAGAGCTATTAATATCATGAAAGAAAACTATGCTTTTCTCTTTTGAGTGCTTCAAAAATAGATGCTGAAGATTATAAACAAAGATTTCCTTTTTAATCCATCAGGATATCAGGAATAAATTTTCAATGTATTTTCATTTCTACTCTGAAATCAAGATTCTAGCCTTCAGAATACAGAAAAATAAGACATTAAAAGTTAAATATTTTTTTTATTATTATGTATAGGAAAATGCCTAATAGGAATATCATGCTGCATTCTCTCAGATATTTCAAATTCTGATACGATTTCTTTAGCAACTGTTCTCTTGTCACTATACAAACACACATTTTCAACAGCTGTTCAGGTACAGGGCTGACTACTAAGTAGAAACGTTAACATTAATATGACATGCACAAAAACAAAACAGAAATGGAGAAATTAAAAGCTAGAATACATGATTGCATTAAAAAAATAAAATACTCAAAATGTATGTTATGATTTAACAGAACTTAACCTTCCAGCACGCACGCTTGGCAATTTTATGTGAGAACGCGCACGTCGTATTTATTACGACATCCATTATTCTACCGTTTTTGGCACGAAAAACAACAGAAACAAGTGATAATAAATTTGTTAAGAAATAAAATATTAATCTTATTATTGCAAAATACAAATGATATCAGATTCAAATATAAGAAAATTATTTTTAAGTTCTTATTTTAACGAGATGGAAATGCAATGATGTATTTCATTATAGAAAATTTTAAATTTATTATTTAATAATTGTATTTTAAAATCGAAGTTAATTTTAATATTCACCAAAGACAAAAATAGACAATAAAAAAGGAAAACACCTTGGTAGGAAAAAAAGTAATATAATATAATAAGTTTAGCACTTACTTCTGCAAGGAAATTTACTTCTTACAGGTTACATAAACTAACTTTAATGTTTTTATTTATTTCTAAAAAATAGAAATGAAAGAAAATAAGGAATTAAAATCGCCATTGTTCTCCCATCTAAAGGTTTCCTTGTCTTCATCAGATAATTCTTGAAGATTCCGAGCAAAATCAGCTGGTTGCACATATTTTTTTTTTTTTTTTCCCATGAAAACTGATATAAAATTTACAGAGCCAAATGTATTCAAATTAAAATAATACACGGCAATTAATAACACAAAATTACAAAATATTTGAGAAAAAAAATATTTTTCGAATTTTAAAACACGACCACGTACATGTCTTAAATTTTACGAAAAAGCTGCCACATAGCAGAAAAGCCCAGTTTAAAAAAAAAAATGACTTCTGTTGGCACATTTTATGATGTGCCGAAGGGTAGAAAGGAGGAATAGAAATGACCTTCAGACAGCTCAGCTTCGATATACGAAAAATGTGCATTAAAAACTTGAAAAACTAAATTTGTCTCAAATTTTGCGCACACACGTGTGCTGGAAGGTTAATCTTTTAAATGCAACATTAACAGCATAAAATTAAAGAATAAAAAATATTTAAGCAACAACTGTAACATTATAGATCACTTTTAAATATTATACATACATATTTCTTGATTATGAATTAATATTTAGTGTAGTTTTTTTTTAATAAAAATTTGCTTTACCTTCTCCATGTCCTGCTCCATCGATTTCATCACATTCAATGTCAGGAGAAGGCAAATCTTCATAATCAGAATCACCATCTGTCATATTTGATTATATTTGCCCTAATTGCAAATAATAATGAAAAAGACACTAAATGTATGGATGAAAAGTTCTAACCCATAAAAATAACAGCCATATTTTAAAAGATAAAATAAGAATAAAAAAAAAAAAAAAAAGCAGATACTGCTTATTTATATACACACACATACCACGTCCACAGAAGTTCTTCCGTGCCCTTTATTTTCACAACCATTAGAACCATTAAATTGAAGTGTAGACATACACTTCAATTTAAAAGAACACTTTTAATGATATATATACTCTCATTTTGGCATTTTTAAATTTAAAAGGGTCAATTTTATAAAAATTATGAAATCTAACTTTTTATTCATTTGCCCAGTACTTACACTTAAATAGTTACGAAAATGTTATACTTAATATAAAGAAGAAATACAAAAAGCACAATTTCCATGCAACAAAAACTGATACCAGTATATGTGTGATTAAAAATGGAGATCATATTCAGGGGCCATATAAAAATTGAAGAGCAAAATGCTTGTATAAACATGTAATTAAAAACAAAACAACAGTTTATAAAAATGTTTCTGATGTTTAATAGATTAAGTGACAAGCATGCCTATGCAGATCGTGAAAGGTAATTGATCAATACATATACAGTACAAAGTCCGTAATCCGGACTCATCGGGAGTTCGGCGATTCCGGATTAAGGGTTTTTCCAGATTAAAGATCATCAATTTAAATCTGGTAAGATGGCATGCAGAAATTATACAATTAAAAATATGAAACCATAATTTATGAAATAAAGAGCAATTATGATCTAAAGGGTATCAAAATTTACAAAAAAAAGAAAAGCTTAATATTTATTTGTTTACTTTATTAACCTTTTAACTGTCAAGTTATTTTGATGGTTTGAGTGCATAAATTGTCAATTTTTTTTTTTTTATTTCAAAAATGAAACATTTGCCTCGCAGTCAAAAAATCAAAAAAAATGCCGCACATTTTGAACTTTAACCTCTATCCTTTGAAACCTTCAGTAAAATACTGCCATCTGTTGAAGTGAAGCCGAAATAAACTTCTCATAATATATATTTGGGTATAACAATACAATGCACTCAAAAAAAATTTAGCCCGAGGAATATTCGGGCGTGACATTTTGGAATACCAGTGCTGTGCCCGAGATTATTTCGGGCATGACAGTTAAAAGGTTAAACATTTCTTTCAATGTAAGTTGTTTAAGTTGCTTTGTTTTTTGTGCTAAACGTGCCTGCGTAAACATTAAACGCACATGAGTATATGCATTATGCGCATGCGTAAAGCATATAAAAAAATGTTTGTAGCTTTGAGGTCTGGATTATAGATCATTCAGGATAATGGACATAGTACTGTACTTGCAAAAAGAATGTTATTCACTGAATTAAGAAACACTAGAAAACGCTGGCAGAATTCAGTATTAGCACATAGACAACCGTAGTCTTTTTTTTAAATAAGCACTTAAAGGCCATTGCCCGATTCCCTTCCACATTTGCAAATAAAACATGTGTATCATTGTCACATGGCATTTATTTTCTCCACCTCAATTGAGACTATAGTTCAAATCAGCCTTCATTCACATACTCTTCATGAAACAAAACACATTAAATAAATAGAATTAGAGTGGAAGAAAAATTGGAAAACTTGAACCATCTGTCACAGGCATTGTCCCCATGGTTTTGAGGCATGTCAAAAGGCAGAAAATGATCTTGAAGATTCTATTTTAAAGTGCAAACTGTAGTAATGGTATTTGCATTAATTCAAAATTAAAATGATTTATTATTTAATTAATTTTATATGAATATTAGATTACGATTCTAAAGTAATAAAACTGCATGAGAATATTAATAATGTATCTTAAGCATCTGAAAATTTATATAGTATTACTTGCACAAAAATTCTTGGGGAAAATGCAGAATCACCCACTGCTTGGTACATTTTTAAGAATTGCACATACTCGCTATTCAAGTACACATCGGCCTATTTTCACTTAAAAAAAAAATCCCAGAACTGCACAAAAATGGCATTGCACACTCCCTTGGCTTTATCCATATTCACATCAACCTATTTTCACTTAAAAAGTTAAAGAAAATTGACAAAAATTCAATTTTCTTACTCTTGTAAAAGACGCCAAACAAATATGTGGGCAATTTTGCACTTCACCAAAATTCTTTGAGTTAACCAAAAACAACAAAATTATAAATTAAAGACACTAGTAAATCACAAAAGCAGACCACTGAATAGCATTTAAAGTGGAAAAATCAACCTTGAATTTATCTAATTTATATAACAACCAAAAGCTCAATAAATATTGAAAATGAGATAAAAAAATCTTAAATTTTGAAATCAAATATTTTAGTCATATTTTGTCATACAACACTCGAACTTTTTACGTTTTATTAATCATAGAGTACCATCAAACCTGTTTTCGTGACATTTACAAGCAACTGACCAAATAACTGTTGTAGCAGAACCTTATGGTGACAAAAGATAAATCAACTGTAGTATCTTCAAGTGACGAAAGCAATTTTAAACCAATTCATCACAAGAAGATGCGCATTTTGGACTACTACAAGTAGCAGTGAATTATGAGCATTTTGAAAATTTCTCCATATGTAAAATAAAAACTTTAATTTTTTTAAATGTAATTTATGTGTAATTTAATTATTAATTTTGTTTAAAAGCACTTTCTCACTATTTCGTAAATCTTCGACATATTTTCCAAGTGCGACTTTTTTTATGCGTTCCCTCTCCACCGCATAAAAATTTTTCTTCTCTGATATGTTGTTAAAAGTTATTTGTTATGTATATTTCTGAATAGTTTTCTATGCAGTTCCTATCTACTGCACAAAAAACTGTATTTACCTAAATATAAATATAGCAACAGGGGTATTATATAAAAGTTAGATTTTTCATGTTTTTTACAAAACTGTTTTTTTTTTAAACTTAAAAATGTGAAAATGAATATCTGCACTAATGTGATATTCAACAAAAAATTTATGTATTAAGAATACTAGTCATTTTCATATGTATCTGTTGTGGGAGATTTCAATAAATTTATATTGAACATATGGAAGACTATGAAAATGCCCATGTAAACAGCATAATTTCAGCAAAAAAGGTCCTCCACATCCAAATACAAAGTAATCAAAACACACTTTCTATGCTTCTTAATTACAATTTAGAACGATTGGTTGATCTTTACATTATGGTAACTTGGCGATTTTTTGGCGAAAATTTTGCAACCAAGTCTCCTACAGCAACCCTCTATTTTTTTTTCCCGCTGCCATTTTGTCTTCACGAAGTAAAGACATGTTTCTTTTCTTTTTATCTACTGAACACTTCTTCCAACAATCTAGTAGCCGAATTACACTTATGCTAGAAATTTTATCAAACAAAACTGCTTAATCATGACAAATATTCACTGCAAAATTGGGAAAAAGTGCACAATACCATACTCCTTACGCGTTTTTCAAAATAACACATACACATAAACCATGTACACGCCGACTTATTTTTACTTAAAAAAATCCCAGAATTGCACAAAAATGGCATTGCGCACACTCTTCACTATATCCATGTACACTGCTTTTTTCTCATAAATTATAAAAATTTCACGAAAATACATGACAATTTTCTCAATCTTTAAACCCGGTAAAAAGAACATATATGAAATTACCTGATCGCGAAAAAAGTATTTACCTTTTACAAATATGAACATTTCCACATATAAAATAAATAAAATATCCAAAAACCTTTACCTCTAAATCATCTATTACATTTATACACGTCACCAACGAATTCATACCGCAAGCATTACAAATACTTAGTATCAAATATTAAATTATTTCCATGCACATTTATTTCAACTTAAACGTATACCAAATTCCTACAAACATAAAATTCACAAAATAACTATCATTTAATTAAAATATCACTAAACCATGTACATGTCGACTTATTTTTACTTAAAAAAACATCCCCAGAATTGCACAAAAATGGCATTGTGCACACTCTTCACTATATCCATGTACACTGCTTTTTTCTCATAAATTAGAAAAATTTCACAAAAATACATGACATTTTCTCAATCTTTAAACCCGGTAAAAAGAACATATATGAAATTACCTGATCGCGAAAAAGTATCTACTCTTTACAAATATGATCTTTTCCACATATAAAATAAATAAAATATCCAAAAACTTTTACCTCTAAATCATCTATTACATTATACACGTCACCAACGAATTCATACCGCAAGCATTACAAATACTTAGTATCAAATATTTAAATTATTTCCATGCACGTTTATTTCAACTTAAACGTATACCAAATTCCTACAAACATAAAATTCACAAAATAACTATCATTTCATTAAAATATAATTAAATTCAAAAACACTTCTTAAAATATAAATGAGCACATACATTAAATTAATAAAAATTACTTACAATCCTAATTACTTTAAACTAAATCATTGCTAATAACAATTTTCCCAATAATACCAAATTCCTTTCCACCTTACATTTAGAACAATGCATAAAAATAATATAAAAATAATATCCTCAAATAATTAAAATACTAACTTACCTAATCTTCTTCAGAACCTTGATTACGTGGCGGATACACTTTTCTAATTCATTCAATAAAATTATTGAAAGATTTTTTCTGCGAATTTTTTCTCCATACTTCCTCCGCTAAATAAAAAGCAAACTTCTCTTTATCACAATGCCTAAATACCCATTTCGAATTCACTTTAATTAGGGCCATGGGATCCAAAAATTAAACAACATTGTTTCACACAACACAGAATAAAGCTAAATACAAAATTTCCACATTTTTTCCCGATTTCCCCCCTTTTCCGATTAAAGAACTGTAATTCGTCCATTAATATCACAAGACATATCCCATGATCTCTCATTTCCCTCACGCAAAATAATGCGTAATCGGAACTGAGTACTGCTCACATTATTACCAAAGTCCCAGGTAGTAACCTTTATCGCCTCCAAAATGTCACCAAACTACCAGTTACCATATTGTAAAGATCAACCTAACATCTCAATAAAATTATATATATAATTACAATACAACCTCTCGTAAGCATCCGCATACAGATGCAACCAATACTTCTAACAGCATAATCAAACATCTGTATACAGTATCACCTTATTAAATTGAACACTTCTACAGGAGACTGAAATCGTCTGGAAATCTAAAGTATCTATTAATAAAATGACAAAATCAAACTTTTTTCATAGCTATCTTGCTAAAATCCTATTTTACGGTACAGCCTAGCCGTGATTTTTGAAAATTACTGCAAACATCACAATGACCTGTTTCCTGCTCATAATAATGTCGCCAAATCCTGTGCGTACCATATGCTAGGATTAAACCACTAATCTTCATATATTGCTTCTAAAGCTACACATCACTTTGAACATTTATGACTTCTAGACCAGACGGTCTTAACAGACGGTAGAGGAAGGGAATTTTAGTATCAGAAGAACATAATCAACCTTTTACTTAGCTGTCAAATATTTGGTTTTAATTCATGAATATAAGAGGCAGTTTTCGGATAACCGGCTCTTGGAGGTGGTTAAAACCGGTGGGGGCAATCAACGACAGTGATAATTCAACAAAATGAATGCAAGAGGAATGGTTGCAACCTTCGAACAAGCGAAGAGGATGAATCTGATAAGTTACCACGTTTAAAGTATTATCGCGAAAGTTGGCGATGTTTACATTTACCAGGTTCTCGATGTATCATTCGACAGCTTAATTCAAAATATTCAATAATAAAAATTTCTAAATGCATTATGCATGCAGGATACTATAAATACTTAAAAACAAATTAGGTTATTTTGTTAAATTAATTATATTATATGTCACATATTCTCACTAACTTAATTTATAAGAAATAATATGATAAAAATAAACTTATAACCATTTTATGTAGAAGTTAATTTATACATTATGACATTTTATGAATGTGCAAAATTAAAAAATAATAATAGTCATACAAACATTATGAACTATATTTTTCATGGTATCACATTTGTAACAAGAATAAGTTTTATTACATTATAAATTTCATACTGAGTTCAAGTTGCAGCTTCTCAGCAAGTTGATACTGAAATCCTCACATTATTAACATTAAAAAAAAAATCATTAACTGGTCTATAGCAAGGAAGAAGCATAAGATATTCACGACTGCTTTATATTACAGATACATAGTACCAAATTGCTGTAACTCAGAAACTGCCCTGGCATGGCTGCATTATTCTGTCTTATTACGCATTTATTCATGAGCAAAAAGGTTACTGACAGAAAGTAAAGTTACATGAGAATTCATTGCATATGTTCATGTGAACTCTCGATCATAAGATGTTTAACAATTAAAACAAAAAAAAAAAAAAAAAAGAACCCAGAAAAACTTCGTTTAGCAATAAAAATTAAAGCTTCAAATTTTGCCTTTTATAGTTTAAAGAAATTAAATACTTCCTCTCATCTGGACCACCAAATCCAATCAAAATAAATCACTTTACGTTATTACATTAAAAAGAAACATGCATTCGGGTATTTTTAATGACAGATTAAAGATTCTCATTTACAGAACGTGAATACTATATGTGATGAAAACTCACTTCGGTAAACAATTTCATATCGCTAATTACAGAAATTACGCGATGTCACTCGTTATTTCCACAATGAACAATCTGCCTGTAGTAACCTTGACCCGACACACATGACTTCAGCAAATCACGTTGCAATAAGCAGAAAAGCATCCTAAAACGTCAACTTCCGGGTTAATTTTACTTCAGTTCACTTGTCCCTTTAAATAAGTTTCCGGTTTTAACTTTAAATTTAAGGTCTATTTATTTACGCGATTACGTGAAATCTCTTATATGATAATTTCAGATAAGCATTTTTGTAGAAAATATATACTTGATAAGAATGGAATTGCTTTATTATTTCTAATAAAATAAAATAACGATTCATGAAAATGATATTATTATTATGAAATGTTGAAAAAGTCCAAGATTAGAGAAAAAATAGTCCTTATGCTTTTAAATTATTTTTAATATGATACAATGGATTTACTTGTAATGTGTTACCTTCTTGTTTTTAGTATTAATTCTTTTGAAGAATGACAACACATTGCAGATTAACTGCAACTGCAAATTGTTATAGTTTTGTTTTCAAAAAAAGCGCCGAAAGGAAGCCAAGTTTCAAGAAGTAGAGGAAAAATACTTTTATGTTACATGTGTTGTGTCATCGCTTATGTTACATGTCAATTTATTAAGATGCGCTTCATTACCAAGCCGAGTATATAATTAATTCGTAAGATGGACGCATATATATATATTTTCCTTTTAAGATCATGTAAGGTAGGGAGGGGTCTTCAACCCGTGGCCCGCTGAAGACATTTTAGTGGCGCATGCGCAGAAAGTTTTTAACTTTGAGGTCCGGATTATAGATCATTCCAGATTATGGGTGTCCGAATTAACGACTTTTAACTGTACTATTTCTTGTCAGTAATGCAAGTGTTTTTCTTTTTTTTATTGTAAATGTATTTATAACATCGTTCTGTACAATAATCTTTATACTTTTTTTCATAGTTAAAAAAAGTTGCAAAACATTTTAATTCGATTTCCATTTGACTTTTTGAAACCAAAGCAATTACAGTACAAAGTCCATATTCCGGACTCATCGGGACTTCGGCGATTCCGGATTAGGGTTTTTTCCAGATTATAGATCATCAATTTAAATCTGGTAAGATGGCATGCAGAAATTACACAATTAAAAATATGAAACTGTAATTTATGAAATAAAGAGCAATTATGATCTAAAGGGTAGCTAAATTTACAAAAAAAAAAAAAAAAAAAAAAAAAAAAAAAAAAAAAAAGCTTAATTTTTATTTGCTTATTTTATTAAACATTTCTTTCAATGTAAGTTGTTTAAGTTGCTTTGTTTTTTGTGCTAATACTTTCTCTTTAATTCTATAAACAGACATAATTTATTGTTCAGTTACAAAGTTCCACTGTTCAGGTCCTGTAATGGCTGTGTCAAGAATATCGATTGACTTGGCAATAGAATTTTTTGTTTTCAATAACCTCTCTGTCATTTTTTTCACTATCTGAAGCGGTATTTTCTGGATTTAGAACCATACTACAGATTTCGCCGTCCGTTAATTGATTGATGATTGGGGCATTGTCGTCACAATGAAAAAGCTTCTGTTATATCATCTTCATTTATTACTGCTTCTATACAGTTCTTTACAAAATCCAATAACTGGAAAATTTCACCTTTATTTTGCGATGTCCGAAAACCTTCAAATTCGCGCCTATCATCTTCATCGCCCTCACCATGAAATATGGTAGTTGGCCATAAATTATGCGAAGCATTTTTAACGTATCTGGATACACATCCTCTTACAATCTTGCAATGCCCCACACAGCAAATTTTATGCTAAAAAATTTCAAAACTTCTTGAATAGTCTTGCCATTGTTCAAGAAATTTAACATAGATTTTAAAAAGGCTACTTTATATTTGCATTTCAGCGCATGCACTATTCCCATATCCATAGGCTGAATGATAGATGTACAATTTTCAGGGAAAAATAATACGGATACATTATCTTTCACTAAAACTTTAAGTAAAGTATGCGCCAAACAGTTGTCAACAATCAGGACTATTTTTTAATTCATCAGGTAAACCAACCGAATTCAAATGTTGCTGAGCCTCGGGTATAAAATGATTTTAAAACCAATCATTCATCAACGCTTGTGTCATCCATGCTCTTTTATTTACATGATATATAACGGGGAAAATCGTTACTCCTTTAAATGCTCGAGGTCGTGCATGTTTTCTGATTATGAAAAGTTTGCACTTGTGCATTCCTGCAGCATTTGCGCACACTAAAATTGTTAGTCTCGCTTTGGAATCTTTGACATCAGTTGGAGACTTTTCTGTAGAGGTTGTATGTTGCAGATTGCGTTGTTCCTTAATCTTCTAATTGGATTCGGCTTATTAGTTTTTGCAGACTGTTAGAGCAATTTTATAAAAAGTAAGCTTGAACTTTCGATTATGTCAAAAAGAGTTTCCGATTCTGGAGCTGGCAAAGGATCTACAAAGCGAAAGCATGTTTCAATGTCCATCAAAGAAAAACTGGAGTTGCTGCAAAAATGGTTAAAGGCATGAAGAAAGTGACTGAGAAGTTAGTGAAAACGAAAAAATTTCGATTGACAAGTTAGTCGGTATTCTCGGCACAGAAATTACAGGACTTGAACAGCGGAACTTAGTAACTAAACAAGAAATTATGTCTGTTTATAGAATTAAAGAGAAAGTATTAGCACATAAAACGAAGCAACTTAAACAACTTACATTGAAAGAAATGTTTAATAAAGTAAACAAATAAATATTAAGCTTTTTTTTTTATAAATTTTGATACCCTTTAGATCATAATTGCTCTTTATTTCATAAATTATAGTTTCATGTTTTTAATTTTATAATTTCTGCATGCCATCTTACCAGATTTAAATTGATGATCTATAATCCGAAAAAACCCCTAATCCAGAATCGCTGAAGTCCCGACGAGTCCGGATTAAAGACTTTGTACTGTATTTACAATCACAAGTTAAATTCTATCCTAACACAAGGCTCCTTAAATTACTCCAACTAACTGCCAAACGTGCAGCTGCAAAAATGTTACTCTCTAGACCAGGTTTCCTAAATGCACTGGCTAAAACACAGAGCAGTTTACTTAAAGGTGACAGCTGATGTTAATCTATCTTTCCTTTTTTAAGATTCTTACTTTGTTTAAACTACTGTCATTATTCTCGTAAAACAGAACAGTAGTATACAATAGATTTTTAATAAAGACATAACTTGTTAATTAAAATAAACTACTCCTGGTTTGATCACACCATAGTAACTGAAATCAATATCAGGGAACACATGTGTTGTGCTTCTCTTTAACTCACAATTGATTCATTGGGATCCCGTTTTTTATTTGATAATATTGTAGCATGCCTTTAATTTAGAAAATAAAAATGCCACATTTTCCTAATAGAGATTTATTATGGCAAATTCATTATTTAAATTTTACGATGAGGTAATTCTTTTCTTGTTCAGACTTTTTCACTTTCAATTAATTACATATTGTTGATTTCTTTCCTACATACTTCTGCTCAAAAAATGTGCAACAAAGGCAAAATATGGAAGTAAAACAAAAACTATTTAATGGATATGCACGAAATTGATCCAAGAGGTTAGTTTAGCATTACTAGACTACATTAGCAAACAATAAAGCAAAGATTTAGAAAAACACATTAATTACAACCATCATATCAAGGAAGACCAAATGGGACAGAAGAATGCAATGGAAACATCACGCTAATAAGCATATGATACCCTCTAGCTGAATGCATTCTTGACAATGGCAAGGCAAGCTGGCAATAGTGTTGTGCCCATTCCTATAATAATACACGTCAGAACTCGGTACGTTTGATAGCACATTGCAATGTGCTATTTGTCATCTCATCATGCTGTATGGCAGGGTTTCTTAAAACTTTTTTCAGTCATGACCCCTTTTTATCAGTGAGATTTTTTTGAGACCCCCAGGACCCCATAACATTTACAAAAATTTTGTGGGACCCCATACGTATTCTGCAAATCCGACACATGCGTAAGTGAAACTCAATTTTTTCTTTTATACAGTACAAAGTCTTTAATCCGGACTCCTCGGGACTTCGGCGATTCCGAATCAGGGGTTTCTCAGATTACATGGAACTATTGCTGCTTGCAAACTGACACATAGGTTCGGCATGCCCTATTAAAAGGCATTGTAGTGTGACTGTGGGATTGCGTTTTATGCTGAATTTGGGCTCAGCAATGCAATCTCTACTTCATATGTAAACTGTATATTTTGAGTCTCGTTTTTTATTTTTTGTAACATGAGTGTATTCTGAAACCTTCTTCCCTCGAAAACCTATAAAAAATCAGTAAAATCAGTTGAAGCTCTCAATAAACAGTTACTGATTGTTCTGGGGGGGAGGAACGATATTTTAAATTTTTCAATTCATATTCTGGTTTTTAAGTTACCTGAATTTACACCATGTTCTTCAAATAAAGTGTTAAATAACTGTTATCAATAAATATTAAAACAAAATATTGGGAAAAAAATTTTGTGAAAAATTCTTCACTAAAATAATGAAGTCAAAAAAGAATTTAAAAATTAAACTAGTATTTCAATGGCGTCTTAAGAATTAAAGAACTGTATAAACTTACACCATCCGAAATCAGCACGTACGCTAGATTTGGCGCGCTGTTAAATGGGCACGTTTGCTAGATTTGGCGCATAGATTTTCGTTGCAGTTTTTTTTACGGTTCTCAAAACGGAAAAATAATCCTGCAAATATTTGGATGCATTAGACATTTTGGTTTAAGAAAATATTTTGAATGTGTAAAATGAAATAAAGGAGCCAAACAAAGAATATCGTTGAATTCCAGAATAAATATGAATGCATTTATATGATAATATATTAATGCATTTATGTTATAAATGAAAAATTGTTGACATAAAAAGCTTTCTCAAAAATAATTCTTAAATGCTTCAAAAATCACTTTCAAAAACGGAATTACTTCTGAGTGAGAAGCATTAGAAAAAGCTTGATTTACTGAATATTTCACTTAAGAAATTTTAATTACCAAAAACAGTTAAAAGCAAATGGATCTAAAATCTGCATTTTTCCTCTTAATGACATT